ATGAATAATTATTTACAATTAACTTAGGTCATAATTTGTGGAACATTCGTAAATGAGAAGTTCCGTACAATCTCGTTATAGACTTTCTCGAACATGTCGCAAAAGAAATATTAGATACTTTCGTATCGCAAAAATAATCGCACTGGCCAAAAATATGATTCTTGTGTGTGTGTGTGTGTGTGTATCATCTAATGCTCGTCACTGTACATTCAAAAATCACAATATCTGCGACGCTATCGAAAAACGACCTATAAAAATGATCGTTTTGAGTCATTACGTTCGCTTAGTAATACGTAACGAGAGAGCAAAGTTAAACACGCAGATGCAACAAAATGTACATTCCATAGATCTTTCAATAGTCCTAAAATAATTCTATTTAGCAGCCTTGTTTTATGCTAAATAAAATATAAATACCATAAAATCATGGAGTTGCTAGAGTTAACAGATAAAACTAATTGAGCACGTGAAAGCTCTGTTGTAAGATTGGCAAAGAAACTTTCAACCTCCTATACATCGCCAAGTCTTGTTTTAATACAGATGACTAAAGATGTAGATCAATTGTCGTACACGACGCATTTTTAATCGAATGGACGCCTTTGAATCGATCGCTAGTAAGAGATAAATGTGCTCCCTCACATATAAAAATATCAGCAAAAATACAACATCCTCAATAATTTATTTGTGGTGTCGTCAATTATCTACATTTAGCTAAATTATACATATATATGATTATATATGTATAATATATAAAATTTATATATATAATTTAATATTATATATATAATTATAAATTATACATATATGCACACATATACATACTTATTTATATTTATAATTTTGTGATTTCCTGCCACACATGATATAGCACTCTATAAATCGTATACTTGTCAAACTCGCAGGTTTATACATACGCATTATTTAGTCCGTATCCGCAAATAGAATTCATCGATCTTCGTTTTTGCTACCGTTTTTTTTCTACTAATCAATTCGTCATTATAACATATCTCATCATAAAATTACTTCCCGTGAATCATTATAGCGCTGATATACTCATAAAAACGCACTTTCTCACCGCCGCGAAAGAAAGTCTTACTCCAGTATACGTAACATTATACAGAATTGATTTTTATACATACAATTATCTTTTTGGATGGCACCGTAGATTCTGACTTTACGCTTAAATAGTCATTTAGCATATCGGTTTCACGCTCATGAAAATTATCTTTAAAGATAATAATATTAGCCCGGTAAACAGTATATCAAATATAATATCGAAACAAACAACATTTTTTTCCTTCCTTTAAATGAATCCTGCTCAAAAGGGCATTGTGGAGTTCCCGCATGCTATATAGTATTTTTCAGCAAATTCAATAAATAATTTACAAAACTCCA